GCTTGAGCCAGATGAGCTTTGAACAACCTGAAGTGAAAACACCGCAGAGCAGCTTCTCCACGTTCACAACAAAACAGAAAACCAGGGCCTGCAACTACTGAGACGATTATTTTCATTATTGATTCGTCTGCTCATTATTTCCTTGATTATTTGCTGGGTCTATAAAAAGTTAGAAAATAGCGAAAAATGCCAATTATGACATATTCAAATTGGTTGTTATCCATCATATTAGCCAAAAAGTCCTCCCATTTGAGAAGCTGGAACCAGCGAGTGTTTGGCATTAATTGACTACCAAAAACTAGCCAATTAATTTTCTGTCAAATAATCAACCAATTGTCTTAGCTCTAAAAGAAATCAATGGAACGTTTGTCTGATGGAATATGAACCTGAGAATTCGATGCCTTACAGAGACCAAATCAATTCATCAAGTTTGTAGTTCAAGCAAATAAATGTCTTTTGTCCTTCTTTTGGAATTGTTCTGGTAAATATGTAGACAAATATTCCTCCTGTTATTGTCTTCACACTGTTAACACTACACAGACGGCAAATGTTCTAACAAGCTAATTACACTGATAACTTGTCAGTCACGGACCAAGAGGTCACGCAGTGTTCCGTATTTGGACAGTTTTCTGTCTATGATTTAAAAAGAACGTAGCGCAATTAACAGTTAATTAGAGGCGAGATGTGCAGCCCAAGACCATTAACACCATTAACAGCTATTTAGTTACAATTTCACACTTTCTTTCCTGCAACTGGAAGGTGATTTCAGAACAGAGACAAACCTGAAAAATGGATTTAAAACTTATGAAACAGGGTCTAACAGGCTGACACAAGTCCAGTAAAGTTACTTCTGCTCTCAGTCCATTTTTTCAAGTGAACGGCTGCTCATTCAAGTTCAGTGACACGACTCTACATGAGGTTTCAAAATTTCAGTTACACTGTATTTACTCATCCTCAAAACTCGTCTCACATATGCAAATCTGTCTCTACAAGCACTTGAATCCGGTTTTGATACATGCACACACACGCCTCAGTAGAATACTGTATAAAGTAATGGCTTTAGAGAAGGTGAGGTTGACACATCTGTTGACTGACTTCAGCACCTGAATCTATTGTGGCAGGCAGTCAGAGTGGAAAACAGACAGACAGGAAGACAGACAGGAAGACAGACAGACGGGAAAACAGACAAGTAGGCTGTGACTTCTAAAGTCTGCTGCCTCAGCTGTTCACGTCCACAAACACAGAGGTCCTGTCTCTGCCTGTGAGACTGTGAGAGTGTGTGTTCAGGCCAGACAGACTTTTCTATCTTGCCTTTTAAAGAGGTGGAGGAGAGAGCTGAGCACTTCTCATCCACTCATACCGGGAAGCAAATCAAACAGTGGCTCTGAGCCAGGCCAGACAGCCAACTAGTGCAGAGGAGCACGTCACCATAAAATGTGTCTACGTGGTCACAGTTGAATCAGGTGAGATCAGGCCAATGAAAGTAAAATAAATAAAATCAATGAAAAAGAACTGCCTGCTTCTGAGCAGAAACCACAAGTGGAGACAGAGATGTCCAGTGTAAGTAGATTGGACTACAAGCATAGACTTCATGGGACAGCTTAATTTCAAATTACATCATTTCTGTTCCATGAATTTTCTGTAATGTGAAGGAAGTTACTTAGTCATATAACATGCTTGAGCCTGACAGTGCAGCATCATGGACTCATTATTAAAAGGAAATCAGTTATAGAAATATCTTAACTTTGTCATTATTTTGTTCAACAGAAGCAAAATTGAAAATTGTAAGTCATTTATAAATTTCTTTTTACAGTAGCTCCAAGCTTTCAAGAAATCTAATTCCTCTGTCAATTTGTTTTCATTTTGATATAGGAAAAACTAAATCACCAAAATAAAAGCATTTTTAAAAAGCGCAGCCAAGACAAGTCACAGTCATACAGATGTCAGAAAGGACGTAAGCCACAACAGTGCAAAGGCAAGTTTGTACAATCAGATAAAATGGAAACCGAAAATATAAAGGCATGCTATGTAGAAACTATATGACATTTTGAAGAAAAATGGGGCAGAAAAACTTAAACATGATTAATTTTTACAGTGTTTACAAATTAAATATTGGATCAATCCAGTGTGCAATTGACATAAACTCTAGCTTTTAGGATCAGTGGGGAAAGCTGGACATGACCACCTGTGTAAATTTAAAGTCTGCCCTCAACGTGTCAGCTGCCAGTGCATGAACACAACAACAGATAGAGTTTGTGGCTAAACTGGAATCAGTCCATGTGCTTCATGAGTCCACAAACAGTGGAGAAAGTCTCCCCTGACAGCTCAGTTTTAATATGTAGAAAAAAGGAGGGGAGCTATTGAGTGCGGCAAATGTGAGAACAGTTATTTTGCTAAAGACAGTATGTGCACACATACAGACATATGTTAGGACAAAGAACTGAAAAAAGGCTTTGGCTTTGCGTTCCTCTTCCTGTCTGTATTTGGGCAAATATTTAGCACATTAAATGTTCTCACTTTTTCTCTATATCGTCGATAAAATCCTTAATGGGTCCATGCTCCATCACGTGCTAGTTACATGTTAAATATGAATTTCTACAGAGTGAAAGCAGGACTGTGACACCATGAAACACATCACAGTCAACACGAGTTAGAAAACATGTAACTGGATGAAGGGCAAACAGCAAAAGAGTCAAGATAAGGGAGTAATGGAAAACCGGAAGGTAGGGTGTGTGGGTGTGTGTGTGTGTTTTGTGTGTGTATACTGTAATAGCAGTACAGAGCATAGAGGGAGATGTATTGCCTTTAGCTTAATGAGTATTTAACAGCGAACCTGCACACCACCACTCTTACATTACCACTGATGCTCCACTCTTGTAAATATCATGCACATCCTGTTTACAACGAGCTATTATGTGATTTGTACACTTTATCTGATCTCACCCGCTATTGGTTTTCACAGTGTGTGAGCGTGGTTGCTATGGCGACGCAAGTAATACTCTGCTCCGTGATATAAAATCATAGTTATGAGCAAAATACAAAAAAGAGCTTTTACTAAACAACGGTATGAGCCATTACTGTTACGCAGGAGAATATAATGCCGTGTGAACGGCAAAACATTTTACATTAAACAGTTCTACAGTAGTAGGAGCTTGAGTTATTGCCGGTTTGTTAGACAAGAGGCATGTGCACATTACAAACCTAATGTCCAAACCGTAATATTAAAATGCCAAGCCCTCTCCTAATGAACATAAAAACCTTCAGGACATGAAAGACATTTCAGTTCACAGCCTGTGCACTAGCAGTAATAATGGCAGTAATAAAAACGGGATTAAAAGAAGAAATACAAGGTTTTTTTTGCAAAAGATAATATTCAGATTTTTTTTGTTTCTTTATAAGTGCCAATGGAAAGAAACCAGCAACATGAAAATCATCATCAATAGTTTCCTTTTTGCCCTAAAAACATAAAAGTGTGGAAATTATTCTCCCAGCGCCCATGAACATCACATGCAGAGGTGTGTTACACTGTAGGAGCATCTGATGAGCAAAACAATGCTCATGCTAAAAAGTCTGAATCTGACAATTCTCAAATGATAATGACCCTGTCCCAGTCCCACACTACAGACTAATTTTATACAGGATATACTACAGTCATCTTCATAGTATACTGGTTTTAGCAGTTAGTTTCTAAACAAGAAATGTGCATATTTTACCATTTTGTACAAACAAGAAATGATGCAATATGTGCCCAAATGCCATAAAACTGTGACTTTGGAATGTCACTGCCAATTCAGCTAAGTGTTTTCACAAAAATATAACTTTTACTTTTTGTTTTCTGTGGTGCTCCTGGAGCTGTTTCACCGCCATCCAGAATTATCTGTGAGCAGCTCCTCAATTTCCTACTCTTCCACTGAGCGAAAAGAGTGTGCATCAACAGCACGCTAAATATGTGCTGTCATGAAGTGCAAAAACACTGCATACTAAAACCTGCTTGAAAGTATGTAGTATGGACTTGGGACACACAGAGTCAGAAACCTTTATGTTCTACTGGCAGCTGGAGATGGAAGTACAGCGCCTGTTACAGACCAATCAGCTCTTTCTGAAAAACCGCCCACTGCGTTACAACCGGAAGAGAGCCGAGAAGAGTGGCTTAAATGTTAAAAACCAAACCAAATAACTACATTTAAGTCAATACCAGCTGATTGAATGTCAATAAAATGACTTGAATCGCCTTGGATTATTATATTACAAATATATAACAGTATAGATTGAAAAAAATCAGACATGTAATAAATGTTTTCCTTTCATTCATGTAGTACAATAAGCTCACAAAAGAGCTGGGAAATGTCCATTATATATGATATTGTCTGTTACGCATGGCTTTATATATTCTGTATTACACACTGTATATACACAAGCCTTTTCTTTTCTGTCCAGTCTCTATAAGAAAGGTTCATTCATTGAGGGAAGCTTCTGTAAGTCACCACAATTAAGGGCTTTGATTTGTTCATGCCCTTTTTTTTCCTGAAGTGCTCCCAACCTTGGGATTGAAATGGCTGACACTTCCTACAGATACAGCATATCAACACACACACACACACACACACACACACACACACACACACACACACACACACACACACACACACGTACTACACACGCATTCTAATCCTCCACGGGGGGATATAAAAGAGGAATCTGGGCAATAAAACGATAGGAGAAGACACTGAAGCGGGAACAAACAGATGTCAGTTTGACTGACGAATCAAAGCGGGACTGTGCAACACCATTTTGTCTTTTGAAAAAAAGGAGTCACAGAGGAAGAGCTCTGACTGTAAGACCAGTCCTAAGACAGTTTGAGCAGACGGACAGGTCGCCTGGCTGGAAATACAAAAGCAGCTTATACATACAGATACAATATACTTTAGTTTACATTATACTAGAAAAAATGTATAAGTTAATATTAGTTAAGTACAGTTGACACATTTACTGAGAGACAATATCTTAAGAGTTAAGGCTTGAACAGGACAAAAGCAACACCATTTTGGTGTGAGTGTGTGAGTGTGTGAGTGTGTGAGTGTGTGTGTGTGTGTGTGTGTGTGTGAGTGCGTGTGTGTTCGTTTGTGTTCATAAGTGCCAGGATCAAAGAGCACTATGGCTTGCTTTAATTTGAGCCATTTGCAACCCTAACTCTATTCAACTCGATACCTACTGTAGGGATGCAAAATGGCAGCCAGAGAAAGGCCACAAGAGGGAGCTGTGACATCCAGCAGACGCTGTTTGTGCCTTCCTCCATAAGCTTTAGGCTTTAAGGTGGTTTGGTTCATACTAGAGCCTCTTCCTCTTAAAGTAGTCGGCGTACTGCCCCCCCAGGCCCTGGGAGTGCTGCCCGATGTAGGCACCATCTGATGATGTCACTTCCTGAACCGCCAACTGAGGATACTCTCTCTTATGGCCCCTTGTCTGGTTCTGAAGAGTCAAAAGTGAGAGAGACGGGGAGTTAGAAGTGAAGAGAGGGTAAGTCGTAGCACTTTAAGGAAAAGTTTGACACTTTGGAACACACTTATTTGCCCTCTTACAGAGAGGTCCACCTCCTTACCTTTAAGACATATGTGAGATCAATCTTCTCATCTAACTCTTGGCAAGAACATGAATAAGCATTTTTCCCAAAATGTCAAACTATTCTTTTAAATGTTCACAAATGTCTGGCATGTTAAAGGAACAAGACGGCTGCTACCTATAATCAGGGTTGGAAGCTATAAAGCTGTCACTGATATTTGAGGGTTTTTCATTTTGCAACAGTGAGAAAGAACATTTGGTTCATTAATTCTATAAATATCCTGCTCCTCCTCCTAGACACATTTCTCTTGTCTTTGTTGCTTTCAATACACTTATACAATATACAATACAATATAATCAGATGATATGTTTTTAGATCTGAATATCGAAAACTCTTTAACAAACAAATCCATCACATTATCAGTCATTTGGAATAATGCTTGCATACACCTGACGGGTTTAAGCCCAATATTTACTCTTCTATTTGCTTTGTTTCCCACCAACTCCTGAGGGACATATCTGGATCTTAAGCTGCTAAATGCTCCACTTTGTTCACCAGCTAATCGGTAACTGTGTTTATCTGCTGTTTTAGTACAGAAGGTTTTTTTTCCCCCTGAAAACATCTGCTTGCTTTGGTGGACTATGATGCTATGAGAATGAGTGAACCAGAACAGCAGAGTTGAGGGCCAACAGCTAAACAATCAGCTGAAACTCATAAATCTCTGTAAAGCTGAGGGGAGCTGGGGATTTGGGTGGTAATCTTCTGAGGGTTCATCACTATGACCAAACGTCTTCACATTCTCACAATGTTTTTACATTGTCATTTGATACATTGTTAATTATTATTTGGGTCAACTTATTTATTTTAATATTGAAATTCAATTTTTTTGCCATTATAGAGAGGGTAAAAAAACTAAAATACCTCTGTGTGAAAAGAAAACAGTAAATTACCATAATTAGATTTTTTGATGGATTTATGTTCATTTTTATTTGAGGAAATAAAAAATGTGCCGTTAATAAGAAATGTTGTCAAGTTTCGTTCTTGCAATTTCAACTTAAAAGATCTTTCCATTACTTTTCCCCAAGCAAAAAATCTTAAATTTGGTTTTCCTTTGCTTCTTGAGTGGACAGCGTTTCTGCAGTCAGAATTGGTCATCAAACCTTTTCTCTGGTGTCTAATGATCCATGAGAATTTTAATGTCTATGTTTTCATCACTACATTGACAGATGAAAAACTGAAGATAAACTGAGAAAAAGTGGCTGGAAAAAGAGAATGGAAGAAAAGCTCACAAGTTGGAATTTGACAACAATGCAAACATGGTGTGTGTGTGTGTGTGTTTCAGGCTAACAGTCTAAAGGTCTTATATCCAGTGAGACAAGGCCACAGAGGCTGTCTGTACAAATAAAGGTAAATCTTTCTAGAGATGAGGCTTAGCTCACACGTCTGGATCCTGTTTCTCTGCTTACGCCATCACACACACACTCTGAATCTCTTCCTCCTCTTTTTCTCTCAATGGTTTTTACAGCCTTGAACTATGAGGACAAACATCTCAGAAAAAATACCACACCAAACATGAAATATAACACACTGATCTATTAGCGCCATAATATACAAGCAAGACAGTGTCCCTCATAGACATAAGTGGGCAGACAATACGCTAATCTCATCTACCTGCCCATCGACTCATCAAAGCAGTCACATATCCAGTCTGCTGTTTGACAGAAATACAGTTCTGAACATTATTTTCATTTCAACATGAAGAACAATGATCCCCTCCCACAGATCCCTGCAGTCAACAACCAGTAGGGCCCACTAATATCAGAAGTTCCAGAGGAAACCGTGGAGCACTTAGCTGCAATATGAAATGTTTGGATTTTGTCATTTCACTTTAGGTTGAGCGTGCTCACTCTAGACTGTCACTTCAAAATGTGAGAACAGTAATGTAGGAGCCAAGAAGGTTTTTCACCCAACTCCACTCACAGAAGTACTTAAAGTGTCATTTCTTGTATTAGACTGTGATTTGTTTTCACTCACATAGTAGTAGGTGTTCCAGTCTGTGGCAGCAGTGTGTGTGTGTGTGACAGGGTTTGGAGTGGCTGCCGCCGGGTGCGGCGCCCCGAGGAAGCCAGGCATTAATGGCAGGGTGCTGTAGGCTGGGAGCACAGCAGCGGCTGGTAGGACGGCTGGCGGAGGAGCCGCACCGTTACTGACTGCATGCAGAGAGACTCCTAGAGGCTTACACACATCGACGTCCTGTAAGAAACACGCAAACACAAGGTAAATGTCTAGTGATAGAACAGCTTCAAACTGCATAACAGGAATAATATCAACAAGGCAATAAAGAAAACGTCCCCAAAGCCTCTAAATCTTTGGGTCCATTTTATTGCAAGGTGGCGTATCATTGCTGAAGGGTTGAAAGCAGCTCATGATTTCACAAAGTTCAAATTTACTTATTCATTTTAACTTTTTCTGCCCCCCAGATGCTATTGTTAGATATATCAATGTTTACAGATGACACTCAACCATCATCACTCATTCACCTCATGGGGTTGTTCTTTCAAACCCACCAAAACAAAATGCTACAATGTCATGACAACATATTTTCAGTTGAGTCTGATGTCAGGAAGAAACTTTATCTGAGAGACTCTTCTTATTTCCAAGATATCAATTTCTTCACCAACAGTGAGCTCAGCAGACAAGAATACAACTCTTCCACGAAACAAGAGCCACGGCTGCATCTTCAAGAAGACACTTGTGCGGACACACACACGGACACGCACACACACGGACACGCACAAACACACACACACACACACGGACACACGGACACACACACACCCACACAACACCAATAGCAGCAGATAAGCCAGGACATGGCTGGTCAGGGTGTTGTGGAGATGTCTGGTATCAGCTGCTGGGTGCAGAGTGATGTGCTCCCTCTAACAGGGTATCAGTGTCTTAGCGAGAGGTCACCCTCTCCAAATAAACACACAGACAAACTCCATGTAAATACCAGCATGTTGCTCTGAGGGCTGCAGCTCAGATCATTTACACACTCAAATATTTAAGTTAGATTTTAAAGAGCACTGTTTTATATGGAGCCCTCAGATATGATGGATCAAGCAGTAATTTACATGCTGGAATGAATAACTTCTGCTAATTAATTAGTATTTAATTGTCTCAAACTAATACGTCGTGTTCCTTAAAGTTTTTACCTTAAATTAATGTTCTTTTCTTTGTCTCCTTAAAGAAAATATTAGTTTGAATGCTACACTAGATATCATTTCAGCCCTCCTAAGCCCCTTGCAGACATGCACCTCTTTACATGACAGACATGAACCTAGTAATAATTCCGATTCACTTTCATCATGGCACAAGTTTGAACGCCATCAGATAAAAGCTGAATCAGCACAACGTTAAATGGGCAGAGAGAGAGAGAGAGAGAGAAATTATCTCCATCTTCATCTCTTATGGATGAACAAAATAAAATCTGTTAAATGAAACTATGAAAAACTTTGGAAAACCCAATTTTAAGTTGAGGAGGAAAATAATAAAAACAATCCTGGTGTGACCGGAGCAAAAGAGATTTAAAAAACCCTCTTACAACCACAGTAATAATCTTTTCAACAGTATGTCTGCACTCTGTGGATGAATCAATTAATATCCAGCAAAATGTTTTACATAAAGCATGTGAGCAGAGAGGAATGAAGAGTCCAACTTAATGTTCTGTCATTCAGTGTTCGTGCACTATTTCATATTTATAAAAAAGCAGAATTTACTGTCTAATCAGCAGGATGGTGAGTATTTTTCATTTTCATGATGGTCATTAAGGCTTCAACAGCAAAAGCAGAATGCTGGCTCTTTCCATAAATGTCCTTTGAGGTCTGAATAAAGCTGTTAGGAACATTGGAGTAAAAGTCACCCATGTCTGACTGTCACTTTACCAGACAGAAGAAGCCAGCAATATTACATATTCCATATCTGAAAAGGACTATGCTGTCTTCATTTTGGCCATCCTGTGCTGCTTGGTGTCAGGTTGTGGACCATTTCATGTGGATAACGCTGTTCTATCTTTTACCTTAACAATATCTTTATACTGTTCAATTCAAAATTTGTATTCAATCATTTCAGGAAAAAAAAATCTTAATATCCCTGGTACATGCTGAGCTCTGTAGTTTTACCATTACATAAATGAAGTGAGCCCATGTAGCTTTTATCTTTGTGAGGACCAATTTGAGTTTAGATCCTGAGACATTTTTGAAAAGTGATGACACATCTTTTGTTTTATGGTTAAGACTTGTTTTTTGGATTAAGGTTAATGTTGTCAGCATGTGTCTACCTTGCTGGCGTAGGCCTGGTTGGCTGTTGCAGGTTGGGAGTAGTACTGAGTGACCGCCTGCATGTAGGAACTGTAATCCCCGTAGGTTGACACTGGTGGAGCCTGGAACACAAGAAGGTCTGCTTAGGGGTGATTATTGTCAGGTTTGATCTACAGGTCCAAAAGCTTTAGCTCGTCTTTCTTGAAGTGGTTCATGGTGGATTTTGAGCTCTGCTTTGGATCATTGTCCTGTTGTAGAAGTCGGCCTGTTTTCACTTTCACTTTCTTGTCTGACTGCAGGACTTCTGCATCCAGGATTTGCTGATATTTAGTGGAATCCATTCTTCCCTCTAACTGTGCAGTGCTTCCTGTGCCACTGGCTGCCACACAACCCCAAAGTAGATTATTTCCATTCCTGAGACCTGTACTGTCCTCACACTGCACAAAAACTAACAGCGCATTAACATTTGAAGAATGGTAATTTTGAATGCCTGTTTGCTGCAGGGGAAGTTTTTACTTCATTTTCACTTCAACTATCAACAAAATGTTATTTGCCCAGGGGTGCCCAAACTTTTGCATACAACTGTTATTTGTAACTGTATTTACAAAAAGCTACCTCATTACCAGAGGACTACTGCAAATTACTCAATTAATTGATTAGTTGACAAAAACTGAACTGGCAACTATTTTGACAACTGAAAAACTATTTTAGTAATTTTTTATGCAAAAAAGTATTGCAAAAGTAGTACTTAAAATATTAAGATTTGGTGCACCATTTTCTGGCATTTTATACACAAAATGATTAAATTACAAAATAATCACAAGATTAATGGATGATGAAAATAATTGTTAGTTGCCGCCTGACTGTAAAGTGACTTCTTGACGTCTGTAGGTACATAAAATAAAAGCAAAACATTTATATAAACCATTCTGCTCCTTAAAAATCGTTCAAATTTTGGGGGAAAAGTTTTGGAGAAATTGAAAATAATTACACACAGTAAAATCACACAGTTAGAAATTAGTATGTGGGTTACCTGTGTGTGCTCCTTGCTGTAGTCTGTGGCTGTGTTGTCCTGTGGAGCAGCAGCATTGTAGGTATGAGCTTGTGCTGCTTGGTAGTGCTGGTACCACTGCTGCATGGCTTCCTGTGAGAGACAGACACACACATAGACACACACAGACACACACAGACACACACAGACACACACAGACACACACACAGCAACAAACATCAGGTGAGGAGTGACTGGAGCAGACAAGTGAATGTTTGCGCAGTGCTTTTCTTGTCTTCAGTTTTTTGCCGCCTCCCTTATTTGTCTCCTCCTTTCTCATTCATTAACTATTGTTCCTGAAGATGGCTCTCCTCTGTTCCTCTCCTTTGTCACATCTTTCAGGACAAATTAAACCGACCGTTTTATTGGTTATCTAATCATGACTCATTTGTTTGGATGAGTAGATTGTAATTAACATTTAAAATTGTGATTGCGTCGCACTGCAAATATCAGATATGTCACTTGCTGCTGGAGGAGGCATAAGGACGATGAGAGCAGAGATGGAGAGAAACAGTAGCATAAAGAAGGAAAAGTGAGACAAAGACAAACAGCCAGTAGGGAGGCTTCACGACTTGTTCAGAGTGTTATGCGAGAGGAAGAGAGCAGGGACAGATGAAGACGCACAGTGCACTCTGCCAAATCCTCTCTCATTCTGTCTATCCAAATATCCACACCCGTTCTCATCTCTTCCACCTCCTTGCCTCTTCTAGTTACAGCTCACTCTGTCACTGCTGCACTCGTCCATCCACTCATTATGTATCCATCCATCCATCATTTTCTCAGCCACCATCCCTCTTCTCTCACATTTTTAGGCCCAGTAACACTTCATACAAGTGCGAACAGGCAGACCCACATCACCATATTTCTTTATTTGTATCTCTGCGTAGTGTGTCTGTATTGTGCTGCAGTACCTGTGTGTAGGCCTGGTTGTACTGGCTGTAGTCAGTGGAGGCATCAGTACTGTATGGAGCAGTTGTTGTAGCTGCAGCGCTGTGGGAGAAGGAGCTGGAGCCCTGGGACACCACAGGAGCAACAGAGCTGCTGTACACCCCAGAGCCAGGCTGTCCTCCCTGGGCTTTACTCCCCACTGACCCTGAGGAACCATGGAGAAAACACAGTGTGTTAGATAATTATCAAATACTCATTGCTTGTGCCCTTGAAACGTGTCTCTGAACAGTTTCTACTCTGTTCCTTCATGGAGTATGACAGCTGTAGTCAGATTTGATTAACAACAGTTAACCACTCCTGGAATATAATCCCCTTCTCCAAAGATTCTCTCTTTGTTCAGTACTTTGGTTTGAACAGGACACCATCCTGTCGTCACTATGATTTTTCTTTGATGTAAATCCTAATTTATTCTTACTACCTTGTATTCAAGCTGACCGTCCTTATACGAAGAAGCAAGCAACACACTTTGTAGAAGCACCGTTCAAATTTAGAGGCACTGAGCTGACACTTGAAAGACAGATGTTTGGTTGAGTATCCCTTTGACATGTCATGCAATTTTGTAGTCTTATTATTTTCATTAATAGAGATGAAAGAGTTTGAGTGAACAACAAATGTGTTTTGTGTACAAAAAATGAATAAAAAACAACTTTAAGTGAGGGTCTTTCATGTAATATGTATCATTGCCCAACATAAAGGAAATTATATGCTGAAAGAACAGCCTATGCGAGTTCGTATGTTTACCTTGCAGCACCACCCCTGGCATTACACTGGCCAAGTTCAGGTAGGGATTAGAAGGCAGTCTGACCTCTTTCGGAGGATCGCCCAACAGAGAACTCTGACCACTGCTGACCTGAAGAGACAGAAAGAGATATAAAATGGTGTTATTCACAGTACCACTGGAAGGAATTGCAAGTCAAAGAAAATTAACAGTCTGTAGATTTTCAGGTGTTTTAGTGAGTGTTATCACAAATTTTTTTACCAGTCAGTCAGCCCTTGAACCTCAGATCCACTGTCTTGTATTCTTTCAATCCTTTTTCTTAACTTTGATTTAGATTCAGATTTAGACCATGCCCTGTGCTATCAGCTACGTCGCCAACATACCAACTTCAACATACAGTTATAAAGTTGTAAAGATTTTGATGAAGTGCTGAAGAGCTGACAAAGCTGTGAAAACCTTTGAGGATTGTTCTCTCTGTTAATTGCACTTTCCCTCCATTAGAGAGACTTTAGAGAAGACAGCGCTGGGACTGGAATTAGCTCCCCTAAGAACTTTAGAGCTGTGATTATCTCTGTACACTGACTTATTATGGATGATGCTGTTAGTATAGCAGTGCTTTATTTAAACCAGGCCTCGTCAAAGAGGTGTATTCACAGCGTACAGAAATTCATACAGGTGAAGAGAGCGGTAGACCTGAGGTAAGCCTCATACTGCATCTGTAAATAGGGGTGAGACAGAAGTGCATTATGTGAATGTCCCAAAAGAAGAGCCCTTAAGGGACTGAGGCTGTTCATACACTCACTTGATGTGTGTGGCTTAAATGAGATGGGGACCCAATGGGGCTAAAGCAGGAATAAATACCCAAAAGAGACAGACAAACAGATTGGTTGGAGGCGGGAAGAGACAGTAGCGATTCTTTAAATCAATGAATCTGTTGATTTTTTTTTTTTAAACATATAAAATATAATAATGTAAAAAATATCAGGAAATAGTGAAAATCATAACTGACCATTCATCAAAACTCTCCTCCAAAATACAACTGTCCATAAGCAGTTGAGTCAGCCAAAGTCGGACAGTGTTTTAAACAGACTTGTGAAATTAATGTTAGCTTAATTAGCTAGCTAGCCACAGCTGATAAAACCTGCCAGTGACGTTTGTCATTTGAGCTGGAAAAACTGAGTTGCGAGCTAGACATGAGAAGTTTCTTTTGTCTACCTGTTTAAAAATCAAGGACCTAACGTTTCAAAAATTACAACTGAAAGAGGTAAACCTGCCAATAGCCCAAAAGATTCAGTTCACTACGATTACTATGAACAGAGGAAAGAGGAATAAAATAATTAGCTGACTATTAATAGCTGTTAATTGTCTGCCAACCTGGTAGATGCAGAGACAGATAATGACACATGGAGAGATTCAGAAGGGGCAAAGAATAAAGCAAGATACACAGGTGTGTGTATTTGTTGTGTGTGTGTTTGCACGCACGCATACATGCAGGTTGTGTTTGCAGTGCTCACCATGCTAGCCAGGGGGCAGCCATCTGCGCTGTTGTGCTGGCCTGTTGATGTATAAACTCCTCCAGGGTGTTTAGGTGGAGGCGGGCCAAGGCCTGAGTTACTTATACCCAAGGAATAGCTCTGTCCCTGCAGATGGGAGCTCACCATCGTCCCAGGAGGTGCAGGCTGTCTGTCACAGGAGGTGGAGGAGGAAGAAGAAGAGGAAGAGGACGAGGAAGCAGAAGGGGTTGTGGAGATAGAATGTGTGCTGTTTTGTTCTCCTGCTCGACCCTGAAGGTATGGCATCACACCTGCTGCTGATACCACCACTGTGGCATTGTGGGTAGATGCTGGCACTGACTCCTGGCCCAACTCTGTCAGAGAGAGGAAAGGAAGGAGAAGAAAAAGACAGGAAGAGATTGGAAGAGAAGTGAGGAAAGGACAAGAAAACAAAGGGAAGGGAAAGATAAGATCAGAGGAAGAGAAAAGAGAAGAAAAAATAAGGATGAGAAAAGAAAAGGGAAAGCAGAGAGGAGAGCAAAGAAAGGGGAGGGAAAGAAAAGAAAAGAAAAGAAAAGAAAAGGTAGGAAAAGGAGAGGGAAAACAAAAGCAAAAAAGAAAAAGAAAAAACAGAAACAAAGTAAGATTAGGTAAAGCAAAAGATGGGAAAGACATAAGAAAACATAATAGAAAAACAAAGTAAAGGGAAGGAAATTAAATGAAGGGAAATGAAAGCAAGTCTAGGGGAGATGCCAGATAAACACATGAAATGGCTTTTACAGATGACCATCAGTGTCTCTGTCTCCTCTGGACAGAGACGAATCACTCAGACGGCTGGAAACCGAGCTCGCCCTGCCCGTCTCTGTAGAGCCAGTTGTAATATTTGAGAATGAGTTTCCAGCTCATTCATCATCACTCATCCTGTTTATTTACAGCCCAGCAGTTTGGGCAACACGCCCAATATTTCACTCACTCCAGGGTTTAATAAACAATATGTACACACATACATACACACGAACACAAAAAAACACAGAGACATAAAAGCACAGGCGCACATAATTTAAAGATGCACATACACAACAAAGATGAACTCACACATATACACAATCACACTTATTATAAATCCAATATTGCTGTGAAAAATGGGCTCAACAGCACAAGAAAACAATCAGCTCTAACAAGCCTTAAGCCAACAATCCCAGCAGACACATGCACTGATAAAAGCCTCACATTACAGACACTGAAAACTCATACACACAATCAAAAGAGGGAGACACACACACACACACACACACACACACACACACACACACAAGTACATCAGCACACATACACACAACTGCTTTTGTTTGTGCGCACACTGTCTGTGATATATCGTTTCCATTTAAAACAAAACAGCTTTTCTCAGCTGGATATTTGAATTGTAAATGCACTGCAGTTTCCTGGGGATGTGTCGTACAGTAGTGTACAACTGTGAGACATTCAGGCACCTGCAGAGAGACAACCCTGACACCTAACATTAACATATTACTGTACAAGTGCGGGTTAGCTACATATCCTTTCCCATGTACATCACCCTCCTCTTCTATCCTTTACATCCGTTACACCAATTATTTCACTCTGTTCTCAGCTGCTACATGTCAAGCAAGAAATTCACACAAATTTGTTTTTCTGACAGTGAGAAATACCTGAGAAAATACAAATTGGGATACTGAGGCATTTGTACTCTCTTTGCTGCTTGAAACAGGTGGTCTTATCTTGGAGTTAGGAGCTTTTAGCTTTTTTTTTTTTGATAGCAAAATGTTCTGTGTTGGGTAAGAAATAACATACCTCTACAGCTCTCTTATCTTAACATCAGCAGGAAATTGGCTTTGACTTGAACATTCAACAAGGACGCAGATAAAAGTCCTGTTTTTGGTGGAGATGAGGATGTGAATTGCTTTTACCCCCCTGTTCCGCCTTGACACCAACAAAAAAAGATTGTGATAATTTCTCAGTTTAGTCTATGTAGAGAAGACATAACCATCCCCTCAAGTATGTTTATAATTTCAAAAGGTGTAAAAAAAAAAAAAAAAAAAAAAAAATCATTTTAACAAAAATAAATCATTACCACAGTAAGAGATGAGATAAGATTGTCAACACTTAGAAGCTCGACAGCTACTACAAACTACAAATTTACTCTTGATACAACATTATGCCACTTGGTTAGATTTACCATTAAATCTTTCACACTGCTTTACAGCATTGTGACATATTGTTTTACAGCACAAAAGTTATTGCAGCACAAATTAATTAAAGGTTTTCAGATATTCTCAAAACACTGAGAATATCTGAGAGGAGGAAATAACAAATAACTTTGCTTATTGGAATAATATTGATCAGTTCAAAGATTCGTAGTCACTGACTATGGTATTAATTTGTACATGAACTGAACGCCTCTAAATGGTAAATGATAAACGTAGCATAAGCATAGCATAGGACAATTGTTTCAATATACAGTAGCCTCACTTGTTTGCAGTAATTACAACAAATGATTTGACACTTGGCCCTGCTTACCTGTAGGGGAGTCGCCCAGGAGGCCTTTCCCCAGTGGCACCAGGCCTGGAGGTCGCAGAGACAAAGCTTTCTGCATCAGCAGCCTGGACGGGTCCCCGAGCAGACTAGAGACCTGAGGAAGAGAAAGACGACAGGAGGATGAGGAGCATGACCGACAGAAAGAAGGAAATAGACAGAAGTTATCAACAAAATAGACAAGAAAGAAGGTAGACAAGGGAACGAAGGAGGGAGATAAAGAAAGAGGGAAAAGATAGACACCAAACAGGTTGGTAGTAACACATATTCATATACACAGTATCCTGTGTCTCTTGATTCTAAAGGATCAGTATCCTGTTTCAAAAACAACATCAAAGACTCTAAAGATCAGTCACTGTGACTTAACTTTCACTTCAACAAACACTAGAGACATTTTAAAGGAAAATATGCAAATCAAAATGTGGAGGGAAATTTCCTTTAAACTGAAACGAAGCAAATAAGTTGCATGATTTTGGTGTTATTTAGTGTCATTATGCATTTAGTTCTGAAGAAAAAAATATAACAGTACATATGCACACGCCAAGAACTATGTTTAAACCTCCCCACTAACCTATGCAAATCATCATTCGTACACACACACACACACACACACAAACAAACAGGTGTCTTACGCTACTGATGCGTTTGTCTTTGATGTGAAGAAGCTGTTGTTGTGCGAGCTGCATATGCAAGAGGTTCTGGAGGACGAGTCCATTACCAAGCATAGCACTCTGCAAAGAAAAAGAAAAATAGACATTACTGTAACAAACCCATCAATATACACACACACACACACACTAAGAAATCCTACACAGATGCTGATACGGTTGTGACCTGGTGTGCTTTTCCCAGTGTTAGCAGAGCTGTGGTGAGAGGAGGTCTGAGGAACGGCAGGCTGGTGTGACGCCCGTACTTCCCTAAAAAAAAAAAAAAACAGACAAACAAAAAAATAAATTAATTACTCAGTGCCTCTATGTGATTTGCTTTTTTGAATTTTGCTTCCACTGACGCATTAATCAATCATCTCAACACGCATGCACAGGCAGAATTATTAGTCAAACAACTGATCCATCAGTCATTTGCAGCACATTTCAGCAATTACACAGCCTACTATTTTATAACAAGCACAAGTAAAGCAATACTGGGATATTATGTTCGTGCACACAGCAAACTGCCTCCCTCATACTTTTTCAAAGTTTAAATTACATTTTGATGTTGCAGACTTCATTGAAAAGAAGCTCAATCAAAAAAAAAAAAAAAAATACAGAAAACAAAAGCAAAGAAATTCTAAATTCAAACTTCTTCAAACAGTCTGTCTTTATTTAATCTTAATGCTCTTGACAGTTTCCTGAAAGACACAGTCTCTAGCTCCTTTACCTCTCTGGCAGTTTTTCACATCAGGAAATGTAAAAAACTATCTGTAAAATGCACAATTTCATGAGATATTGTACAGTCAGTGTGTATGTCGATGTACTGATGAGGCAGTTATGAAAACATTCCTAAAAAGGCTGTAAAATACACTGGACGATGACATGACTTCACTATATCTGCTTGTGAGCTCAAAGCAAAATTCCCCGTCTGGTCAGGGCCATCGATTTTATGAAGCTGGTTTTAAGGTAAAACAGTTGAGACTCTTACTGTGTGTTCGAGGCTCTTTAATGCATATCGCTAACTTGTGTCAGGCTCTGTGTTTGACATGTGTTTGTAGTCTGAGTGTGTAACTCAGTGACACCTGATAGAGGAGCTGATAGAGTGGCTTTGCATGGAAAATGTATCATGTTATAATTATTCAGAAAAAAAAAAAAAAAAAAAATTACACAGGTGTTCAGAGTCTCTTTTCATGAGCGTGGCTAATCAATAATAAACTAATTAAATCCTGTATTAACAGTTTGTCAGGAGTGACGTTGTGCCTGTTTACACTGCAGTCATCTCTAATGGGAGTTTTTGCATTAATGAAGCACATCTGCTATACACCCAGTGTCTGGTATATCTTGAGGAAAGAGCAAATGTGCTAATGTTACAAAAATAATAACCAGAATGAGTGAGTCTGTACCCAGCAGGCAAACAGCATGCTAACTTTAATTTTGTGAGGAAGCTTCTGTGCTTTTAACCCATGCTGTTCATTAATGTTTTTGGACCCACACAGTTCATTTCTCTCCAACTCCAACTGTAGATCGAACTTTGTGTGGTCTGCGTTAGCATTATCATTAATAGCTGCTGTTCCTCTTGTTAGCTGCCAGGACTGAAAAATAGGTGGTGTGTGGTGTAAAAAAATGAATTGATGGATGGATGGATGTATGGATCAATTAAAAAGGATTAGTAAGTTATAAAAGGACACTTCCATTCTAAGACAATGCGCTTCCTAGCTACTGTAGCTAGCAGTAATGACAGTGTTTGCTGCCGAGCTTAACAGCCTGCGACTACATACAAACACATTTTAAAAACTGACATCACCACCTATGGCAGGAAAGAGAAAATATGTAAGACTTTTGCAAATTAACAATTACTTAAATACCATGTAAGGCCTTTTTTTTTGAGGAAACTAAATCCAGTGGTTTTTATACACCTTTTAAAATCAGTAGATAACCTGAGCTAAATCTAGTAGTGGTTATGCAACTTAAAATGAGATTAAGATTGATGGAGATAGCTAATCATCCTGCTTTTATTTGTGGTTGGGGATGTTTGTTACTTAATTGACTATTTCAGCTCTCTAAGAGGTGATAAAATTATGTGGAGCTATCTATTGTACTAGATAGGTTTTAGAGTTATTGTGTTTTAGTATTGTTGAGCCTTATTGTGTGTATTGATGTCAGAGTTATGTGTAGCTTTATCACTGAAGTACTGTAGATACATTAATGTGGAATAAGTAGCTACTGTTGTTCTTGTTGTTGGTAAAAGGAAAAACTGCCGGGCTAACGGATATGTATTGTACTCTTCCTCTCACGCGTATGTTTATTTAAGTAATTAGTGTGTTTTGCTTCCTATTTGGCCTAAATGTTGATCTTGCATTGATGGTACTTTGTTCCTTCCTTTTTTACAGTTTTTCTATACTTCTGCAAATCCAGTTTTCCTGCTAGTGTTTTTATTCATTTTTACATTGCCTCTGGTCTAACTGGTGTTTATGGTATTTCATCTTTTTGTAATTTGTAGTCACTATCATGACTTTGTTGTTCAATACTGTTTTTACAGTTTTACCGCTGCTCTGAGTAAAAACCTCAAAGGCCAACTTGTTTTTAAGCTTTAATTGGAGGTGTGTTTAGGTTGCTGCATAGCTATGATAAAAGAATAACTGGTTGGTGAGAAATCTAGTGAAGTGGCTACAGCTGCTTATGTTTGTTCACCAATAACTGTGTTTTCTTCCAAAAAGGACCAAGTAATGAATAAACAACGGTGTCCCTCTGTCTACGCTATTACAACTATTTCAGAACCTTTTGTGGTTTTCTTTCTTTCTTAGTGTTGAATACTTTGAATTGAACCAATTGTTGAAAATTAGCCTTTTTTCCATGAGTGGAGACAAAATAATAAATCCTCTTGCTTATCAAATCACCATGGCAACAACAATAAGTTTGTGTTGGCTGACAGCCATTTATTTTAATTAGTGTGGCTCATAGGTTTCCAAAATTTTGAAAAGTTTACCCACATTCACATACCTGAAAACGTTTTCCATTTTGCGGACTGATATCAGAAAAAAATTACTCACAAGGCGTCTCTCACCTTCAGGTGAGTGTCACCCTACTCCTACACACATACAGTACACCCCCCCTCTTTGGTTTGTATGTGCCTGTGTTACTTCTCTGAATCACGAGGCCTCGTCATAATAAATGTAAGCGTCAATGCTAATGGTAGCTTCCTCCAGAATAGGTAGAGAAAGTTTAACATTTAATCAAGGACCTAATTTTAGACTTTAATTGTGCTTGCTCTTCTTTAAAGAGAGCTCCCCCACCTCTCCCATCTTCTCTTCTTCCTGTTCTCATTTGTCCCACTAATGTCATACGATTTCATTTTAATACCTGATTAGCCATTCATCAAATAATGAAGCCGTCGACTAAGTGATTACAGTATATAAGAGGGCCTAACAGAGGGACAGACTCGTACAGTGAATCTGATTATGACTCAAGTCCCTCAGGAGTGGAAATAATACTCAAATGAACAAGTTCAGGACACTGTCATGCCTTAAATTTAGATAGATTAAAGATTATTCAAAATGTGCAGCATACATGCAAGTTTGATCTCAAATGGCAAAAGTATGCTATTCTGAGATGAGTATTTTTAGTTTTAAGTTACCAGGAGAATTACACTAAAAAAAACTTGTAAAAAGCTATAAACTCTGTAGGGTTTCCAATGAAATGTTTTATGGTAGCATATTTTTTCTGAGATTAAACTTAACATTAAGAGTAAAATGTAATCTCTCTAATTCTCTTTTCTCTTGAATTTCATGTACTTTACTTTCCCACAGTGCACTTTTACCAACTTTGCTGAACCTTCACTATATCATTGTGAAACAGAGTTTGTCGGCAACACCTCATTTTACATGTCCCAGTTTTACGGTTAGTTCACTTGAAACTTTCCTCATGACGTCCTAAAAATTTGCTGGTATTTAGCAGTAATTTACTAGGATTTCCAAGAGTAATAACTATAAGTTTAAAAAGGGCCTATGCAGTTTGGTACTTACAAAAGTCTTAATTGCTACACTTACCAGGTACCTACTCATTATAGTTTTTAAGAAAAAAAAAACAACAACTAGGAAATCATATAGAAGGTAATTGAAAAATGGATCATAAACAGATGTCTGAGTTTCCTATAAGGACAAACAAAAATTCATAATTCTTGATTGGATAGAAAACTTGCCACATTGAGTCACTGTATTTCACAGCTTCAGTCTGTAGAAAAATTAAGTAGAAATAAATTTGTTGAATTTGTTGATCATTGTATCAGTTTGAAACACAAAACTAATGAATTTCTAGCGCAGCTGAAAACTACAGGTTCAACCAATATTCGGAATAAACATCATTAAATGATACTTACAGATTACCAAGCAGAACTAATATGTATGGCAGCTCAAAGTCACGACAAATTGAAATTACGAATTTTTGTTTGTCTTTCTAAGAAATGCAGATGGACAATGACATCTGTTGACTAACTATTTTTCACTTGCATACAACTTTTTTTCCCCTTATAATTAGTAACAAATTGTGTAGGACTTTCTTGGAAATATAATTAACCATTAAATACAAGATACTTTTTTAGGAAATTATGAGAAAAGTTTCAAGCAAGTTAGATAAAAAAATTTGGAACCCGTAAAATAAAGCATTTCCAACTTGTCTTGGGCGTGTCTTAGTGAATACATTTTAACAATATAGAGCTGTAGCATGAGCTGCACACCTCAGCCACCTGCTTCTAAAATATAAACAACTATGCCAACTGACATTCAAAAGACACACCTCTAACACATGATATTACTGTTAGTCAACAGTCTAGTGCACTTTTTTATGAAGGGTTAGCCAGCAAATGAGCGATCCTTATTTTTTTTACATTTTGCAAGAAAACAAGTGAGAGAGATATTGATGTAAAAATACTCGTATCATATATTTTTGGCATTTAACGAGATAAACAGACATATAGAACTTGGAAAGTACAGCTTTTATTCACCGTGTTTATCATATCTATCCGTTTTGTTTCACTGTGTCATAATATCATTGCAATTTCAATGTTTTGTATTTGGTATTTGTTGTATTTGGTCTGTTAGGACTCTGAGTCAGATACAATTCATGAGCAACACTGAATGTACCTATCATTTTTGTTTTCTTACTGTCACACTGCTGTCGTTTCATTGTTCCATTCCATGAATGTAACCTAGACCCATGCGTCGATTACTGAACAGGCCTATGGGGCATAGGCCCAGAGATCAGGGCTCCCCTGGGCAAGTCACAGAGCTCAGTTAAAAGACTAAGACAGACAGACAAAACAACCACAAAGAGACACAAAACGACCATGAAGATGCAAAGACTTTCAGTCTGGGGGGTCTATCAGAGGTGGGGGACCTTTTACTTGTCTGTGCCCAGGGGGACATTGTCTCATACTCCATCAAATGCTGGGACCCAAAAAAGCAGCAGAAAGTTGATGGATAGACAAACAAGTTAAAAGAAAAAAATAATTTGTTAATTTAAGTTTGTGATAAAAAACAATACTTGTCCATCAAGTCAATGAGCTTCCTAGCTACTGTCTAACAACATCCATAAGTTATGATATTACATTTACTCATTTGGTGAATGCTTTGATCCAGAGCAACTTAAAAGTAAAGGACAACACTAAAGCTTCAGTGCAGTAGGAGACCTTGGTTTCAGTATTAAATACTACATCACTAATGTTACCATTTACAGCAGGCAAGACAAAAATATTCAAGACATAAATCTAAGCCTTAATAATATCTTCTTTTTGAGGAAACTGAATTCAATGCTTTTAAGATTTTTCAAGAGCAGTAGATAGGCTGATTACAAATCAGATCGCATTAAAGTAAGCTGTTTATATATCATATGACTTCTAGGGTTTACTTATAGGACTTGAAATTTAGTCAAATGATTATTTATGCTCAATGCAACAGCACTTGTCACAGTCATACCTCCTCTTTTCCCAGTGTGGTACGGTCTCATGAGGATCTGCAGGGCAGCAGGGTTGGTCATGCTGGTCAACAACTGGGCCAGGTTTGGTTCTGGTAGCAGACCTTTCCTATTACTCAGAATCTGGAGAGGAAACAGCACACATATACACAAGTTAGAGGAAGAAAAGTGGGACTGTGTGTGTATGAGTGTATTGATGTATGTGTCTGCAGTACAGTATGTGTTTTGATCTCGTCATTAGGAGCCCCTGATGGCTGTGGTAATCATTACACAAGTTTACATCATCAGAATATGTCTGCAATGTCAGCAGAGGGGAGCTGATCTGTGAGACAAAGGCAAAAAGAAAGAAACTGAGGCGGGGAGGGGTGAAATATGAAAAATATGAAAAACAAGGCACAAGAAGTTTGGGGGGGCTAAGCAGAAACTTAAAAAAGTAGAGGCCACCTTTCAGACATGCTCTGTAAGTCATGTCTGTCCTTGAGTCATTTTTATTCTGAGGCTGAGGTGTGAATAAAAGAAAACAGACAGTGAGTAACACACGAGAATCTTATGACTATAACCTTACATATGACATACAGTAGAGTACAGTGTGCAAACCAGTCACAAGAAAAACCAAGTGCGATTTCAAAGCCACTTCAAACATGGTTTCAAATGTATTTTTAATAAAATTAAGAGAAAGAAAAATATTTACAAGAGCGTAACACTCAAAAACTCTTCCTAATCCCTGCTTCATCAGGACAGTGTGGGTGTGGTTAGAGCAGATTTCAGTTGCAACATACGAAGCAACCCACCACACAACTGTCATCACATTTACATCCTTATTGGTGTACAGAAATATGTGACATGAGCTTTTTTTCTTTTTTCCTCCACCCACTTCAAACCAGTGAGCAATGTGTGCAGAGTGCAATACTTTGCAGGAAGAAGCTCATTGAGAAAATAGGTTCTTAAGGTTTTAAATACTTTGCCTTGATCATGTGGCAGAGTTGATCCTGAAGAGACAGAAGATTGACTTAAAGATACATAATGTGAACATATGTGTGAAATGTAAACTTTAAAAAGACAGAAGTGCTACAGTTTTCATACTGTATATGAAAGGGGATATAGAGTCTGTGTGAAGGAAAGAGCAGCTCTGCAATATCTGCGTTGGACAAATTTTCTATTCTTACAAAAGTGTGAAGCTCATACAGCTTAGAAGTGTCTCTTCAAAGTCACATGCCACTTCAAAATGATCTCTGATCAAGGTGCAGCAATTCAAGCCTCAATCTCGTCACTTGTGATTGGCTTACACGGTTTGGGCATATACAGTCTTTGGGTACTTTTATTACAGTGTTACTGCTTTTATTCACAGTTTTGTAGGATTATTCTTAAGACATTTTCACATGTATTGCACAGCTGATGTAAAGAGACAAATAACGAGGTTAATCAGGGGAGTATGGCATACAACAAAGCTACCAGGATGCCCCACTTGCACTCACAGCTGAGGTGTTTATAAGTCTTAATGAGTCTGCACACTGGTAGTAGAGTTATTGACTAATGTTTTCAGCCAGCAGGTCCTGTCAGTCTACTTTATGTATTGTAGTATGTAGTGTACAGTATTTGTTTAGTATTGGTCTTTGTTTGATCCTGCTTGTTCTGTGTTTTTTCTTACATTATGTTTTGCATTTAATATGTCTCACAATGTTATTGTAGCTGCGTGTTTCATTTAATTCTTCTCTTAGTACACATAAAACACCTTCAGAGACATACTCTGTGTTTTCCCTTTTACCAGTAAAGCTTATATTTAATTTGACATGAGCTAAATTTCCTGGAACTAAACAGATCTCTGCTGACTTGTGTTTAATCGGAAGACATACTGTAAGGCACATTCCCAAATATGAATTCAATCACTCATTAAGCTGCAGAAATTTAATTCAACAGACTCAAATGAAATCCTATTGAATTTGTCTGCGTCAAATCGAATGGAGCAGCGTTTTCTCTGGTAGATCCTCCTCAGCACTGACTGTGTGACAGCAGTACTTGCTGACTGGCCCAAAGATACAGCTATTTAAAACAACATTAGCAGTATGGTGATATTTCCTCCTCATCTGCCCCTGAGCCACAGCGTGACACAGCTCAAGTCAACCTTGTTTCCTCTCTGTCACATCCGGAGGAGAGAGCATTACTGATGGGTATGGAGTGGGTTTGACTCCAGCCTGTCAGCAAGAGAGGAAGAGGAGAGTGTGGTGCATACATGCAGTATGTGTATTTGTGTGTTACGGCAAGAAAAACTGGCGTTTGCATGTGTGTGTGCATGTGTGTGTCTATGTTGAACAAGGCCAGTCATAGCTGACAGCGTCTTTCAAGGGAAGGCAGAGAGAGAGAGGGGGGAGAATGACAGGAGGAGGAGGAGGAGGAGGAGGAATGCTCTCTCATTTCTTTTTCTTTCGGCTGGAGAAAATGTCAGCATGCATCAGTCTGTTTGGCTACTGGCACAAAATCCAGCCACACACCCACACACTAACACACACACACCAGGGAGGTAAGGAAGCCGTGAAGAAGGGAAGGTGAGAAGTATCACGTAAGGAGAAGGATGGAGGGAGAAGAAAGGAGGAGGGAGGAGGAGGCCATCTGCTTCTCAGCATTTACACTGCCTCAGAGAACTGTAGCCAGGAGTAGGCCTTGATCTCTTTCTGAAGGTCTGATGTTTCTTTTACCGGCTGCTCACATTCACTGCAATAATCTTAAAGGAGCCTCAGGGTACTAATGTAACCTCACAGTCCTCTCAGGCTAAAAATGCTTTCTGTCTCTCCACTTCTTCCTTCTCCTTCCCTCTGCTAGTCCATTTCTCTATCAATCCCCCCCTTTTCTTTCACTGAATTCATGTCTTCCTTCATCCTCACGTCTGCCTTATCTTCCTCAGCTAATTTATTCAGAAACACATTTTCTCTCTGTGTCTTTTCATCCTCTTCGTTGCAATTAGGACTGTGACCGTCACTGCTCTGCCTTTCAACCTGTAATTTTCAAACCATCCATCTCAAGGCTACAACCCCTTTAACTGCACCTGACAATTCTTATTCTGCAACAGCTGTGAATAAAAATCAGAACACAGCTGTCTGTCACTTTCCATCAAAAATGATGGTGCAGCAGTTTTAAATTCAAGAATGAGTAAATTAGCATTCTTACTGTGTTAATGTAACGTGATGTGCTAGTCAATGTATAAAGGACATTTTGTGTAAATTGGTTTTATAGGGTTGGAGTCAGGGAATTTCAAAGTTATAAGCTCTGACTTTTATTTGTAGCCCTTCCTAAGCTCAATTGGTGTGATCTGAAATATTTATCAGCAGATGTGAGTTAAACAGTAGGCTGTAATGGTTTTCCATTGCCTATGGGTAACTAATAATGAACCATAAATCTGCAATGCATGTGAAAATACAATTGAAGATTTCCATGTGAAAGCAGCAACAGTGCTGTATTTTGTGTTTATAGGCTGCTCAAGAGAAAATATGCAAAAACATCCCAAATTATTACCAACATTGTGAACAAGTGCCATTATTAACTTTCTGTTATTAGACTTAATTGGACTTGATGGAAGGTCATAATACTATACCGCACTGTATGAGCAGATGAAAGGAAGCCAACTCTTGCAAATGAGAGCTACTTGGAATAACAGAGTAGGTCAATGTAACAACTGACATTGAAAAAAGAAATCAACCAAATTATAATTAAAATTTTGCTCCTGGCGATTGTATTTAGGCTTCAAGAATAATAAAAGAGGTGTTCATTTGTGAAAATTAAAACGTGTAAGCATCAAACTTTTGTTTGCTTAGTTTCTGCAATAATCAAAAAGCCAATGGGAAAAAAAAACAAACAAAAAAAAAAACATTGTTTTTTGTTGAGGAAACCAGGATGATGCTAACTTCCAGGTTGGCATATAAAAACAGTCCCTGCAGCACTCTGCAATTTTACCATTTTTCTGTCTCCGAGGTACAGAGACAGAGAGAACGACTCGAGTTCAGAATGCATCAGGACATTTAAGTATTATCCTCGAATGTAAGACCGCATCATCTTTAGATGCAGTTTCATATTTTGAGCCAGTGCAGCAGTCATCTAAAACCCTGATCACCACACTGTCTCACTCCCTTACATAAACATGCAAAGATGTTGCTGCACTGATTGTTTTTGATTGCAAAAGCATTGAGACTCAGGCTGTAATGTTTTTTACCCACTTTTCTGTCTAAATTATGTAACTCTCAATTCATAGTTATATAAACAAGTACTGTTCCTTTTGTGGAAACTGATTCTCTTGTATTTGCATCCTTATGTGTAGGTCTGCTGGTGTGTATCTATTTGAATATATGTCTGTTTGTATGAATGTCATACTGTGTCACAGGCTGTGAGTTTGGTTTATTTCAGGCAGCAGGAGACAGTGGAGGAGCCCAATCAGTCTATAGAACTATAATTATCATGTCAGTGCCTCTCTGCTACCACAGCACTGTGTAGGAGGGACACCACGGCTACAAAGACTATTTCAGCTGGGGGGGGGGGGTGTTCATGCATGTGCACCATGTCAAACCTATGTATACCTCAACACTGGATGTGGAATAACCAGTTGGTGGCGGCTTCATAATTAGATATAGCTGTAGCTGTGACAATGTTATACACAATGTCTTATATGTGTGTTCATCTGTTAGCCTGGAAAGTCTGATGTTTTGTCTTCCAGATTTGAGATGTATGGGTTTTTATTTATTTATTTTTATTCTACCTATTAACATTTCAGTGGAATTGGAACTTATTTTATATGCTGCTTCCAAATGTTATTTTGTCACCATTGTTTTACATGTGCTGTAACAGCTCTTTACAAATCAGCAGAAGTGCCTGCTAGTTAAAGCAGACAATGAGTGTACTGCCATACTCGCACGACATGCTGTACTTATTGTTTCTATATATCTAACACAACCTTTGTCTGCCTTGCCAGATGCTACATTTCTCAGCTCTGCTTTAATTCCTGCAACCACTTGCTGCTTCTGCGACTGGTACTATTCGTGAAGTGTCCATCTATAGGGTCAAAGTCCAAGTTCCCTTAGGAGGAAGTTCTTACTGCCACTTATGGACGTTTTTCACATATCAACACAGGATCTCTGGAGCTCAGACAGACACACCATAAGGTTCTTGGTCAGTTTGGCAGCCAGTTTTAAGAAGAGTCCTGGTTGTTCCACACTTCCTCAATTTAAAAATTATGGAGGCCACTGTGCTCTTGGGAACCTTCAATGCAGGAGCATTGTTTTTGTACCCTTCCCCAGATATGTTCCTCGACACAATCCTGTTTCTGAGCGGGCAGTTCCTTCCTCCTCATGGCTTGGTTCTTGCTCTGATATGCATTGTCAGCTGTGAGACCTTTATAGACAGATGTGTGTCTTTCCAAATTATGTCCAATCAGGTGAATTTACCACAGATGGTCTCCAATCAAGGTGTAGGAACATCTCAAAGATGATCAAGAGAAATGGGAGGCCCCTGAGCTAAATTTCAGGTGTCACAGCAAAGGGTCTGAATACTTATGTCAATGTCATGTTTCAGTTTTTACTTTTTTAATACATTTCCAAACATTTCTAAAATTCTATTTTCACTTTGTCATTATGGTGTATTGAGTGTAGATTGATGAGGGAAAAAATATATCTTTTTATTTTAGCATAAGGGATAAAGGGTCTGAACACTTTCTGAATGCACTGTATGAGGTATACATGGCTATGTGCCTGTAATATGATGGGCTGTGCCGCTCTTGTGTGCATCATACTCACCATACCCTGGGCGGCGATGAGTGCAGCCAGGGTACTTCGCCCTGAAGTGCCAGGGGTACAGAGTGACAGACGGACCTCCTGTCCTCCCACCAGTGTTCGGTCCATCTCTATCAGCACAGCCTCTGCCTGCTCTGCACTCTCATACTCCACCACACCGAAGCCCCGGACTGGGCTGCCCTCATCCTGAGCAAGCTGGGAGACAAACGAATGCATTAAAAGTATGACAACTAACTTTTGAATTAATGCTACAATTTTTTAAATAGAATTGTGTAAAACATGCATATTGTCCCCTTAAATTTTCAACTTTTAATAAAACTCAGTCAAAACTATTTTTTTTTCTTTTCTCATTTGCTTTTTGGCATGAGGTGCGAGTAAAGGCTAGACGGTGTGTTTTTAAAGTCACAAATCTCAGCACATAGTGAAATAATTGGTATTGATCGGCTCCACTGTCAACCCCTCACATATACACGCAGCATACATACAATGAATTGTGCTTATTTTGTGCTTTAGGGTAGGAGAAACTTCACTTACTGCCCAGTTCATTTAACCAATAACATTATTTATGCTTGCAACAGCTCTGCCTCCAGACAAGTTTAATTAAACCTCCACTGTTTCATAGCTTAATTTTCTCAACCTCTGTGATTTGATGCAGGTCATGTATACAAGCAGATGCCTTTTTCACTTGTTCACCTGTTCAAGTGTCTGATTAGAATGGATCCATCCTCTCATTCATTTGCTGTTCCGTTAGTTCATAGGAAATCTCCGAATTGACTGATTTTCGCTAAAATACAGTACAATTTGCCATTGCCACTTTCAGCAGTGGCCTCGTCTTCCTCTCTGCACAATGCCACATTACAGAATAGCAATCAGCCCGCTTCATTTGGCCCCTGTCTCCTCATGTACTAGAGAATACTTCTGCTCTCAAGTCAAAGCCTGCTCCCTGAAGATGTGCGGGCTTCCATCAAAGGGTAAATCAGACATTTAAGTGGTTTGATGCTTTGTTTCAACTTGGCTGGTATAGAATAAAAAGGAAAAAAAGGAAAAAAACTGACATACACAGCAAAGCTGAAATATGGCATATTGAAATCCAACTTGCATCCTTTGCTGCTTTTCATATGCTTTTCTCTGACTCCTTTTTCACCACCTCTCTCCTTCTGTTACTAGCACTGCCTCCTCGCAGCAAAAAGGTCCTGGGTTTGAATCTGGGGGTCAGCTGGCGAGTTGAGTATTCAGGTTTTCCTCATCTCTTCATGGGTTTTGGTTTCCTCCCATAATCCAAGGACATGAAGCACGGCCTGTCCAGGTTGTATGTTATCCCTGAACCAGTGTGCTGGATAGAATTCAGCACCCTGCAACTCTAAGCTGATAAGCAGGCAAAGGTGATGGACAGTTGGGTGATCTGAAGTGCCTCACTGGAGTTGTTCGTTTGGGAGTAATGCAAGCTGTTACCATCACGGACGGACACACCAGTGCTCACAGCGCTATCTGTTGTTGCCAGCAGTGAAGAAACAAGAACTATGTCCAAATACAAAACACAACATGAACACTTGGAGCTACTGTAAGAGGAGAGAAAGGATATCTCTGTCTCATGTGAATGGCCTCGATGATGGATTTTTTTCTTGCATGATTGTTGAATCTTATGAGACCTTATTTCTTATTAACTGATACTAGAAACTAACATCTAATGCCCTTTTTTCCTTTCCTTTTTTTAAATCCTCTGATTTATATGCAGGAATAAAAAATGAACACACTAGAGGCATTATCACCAACAGGGTTTTTTAAAGGAGTGACTGTGTTTTAGAATGGATTTTTCCTTCAATATGCAGGAGGAAATGTACTCACTGATAATTTTAATTATCTAATATAAGCTGGATGCTGCTTAATAGAAGTCTCCTTTTCCTTATCAGAGAGGGTAAAATGCCTGGAAACACTACTTTCATTATTCTATCTTTTAATAAATCACCATGGCAAGTAAAGGAGGTCCCTACAAACAGCCCGTTTTCTATTTCTGCACCAAATGTATGGCACCATCTAGCAATAGTAAAACAATTTATCCAGAAGGTGATTAGTAGGGCATTTTATTTTATTGTTTGGCTTTAAAGCCCAAAACACAATCTCCTCCAGAAAAGGCTATCCATACAGGCAAAGTTACCATAGAAACCCACTCAAAAGTGAGTCACTGACTGCAAAGCCAGCACCAAATACAAAGTTGCTAGCCAAATGCTTATCCAGTCAATGTATGAGAGACTTTCAGGCTAAGAAACGTATTCATCAAATATAAATTCACACAAATACACTGCCAAGAGCTCAGAGAGGATCAAAGTTACAAATGTGACCTATACACTTCCATTTTCAAGTGTATTTTTTTTTGTGTGTGCATCATGTGACAGACAGTAACTGACAGATAACTGTGTTGTGGTGGAGGTAAAAGAGCTTTTCTCAGCTCCTTTTGACAAGACGAAAACGATAGAAAAAAATTGACATGATGTAAGAGATACATCCTCTTGCTCTTCCTGTACTGCTCCAGGGACTACCCCCCCTCCCCGGGAATCTGTGTAAAAGCAACCAAAAAAGTGACTGATTTAGACCAAATAATCTCCTGCTTCCAACTTAATGGCCACATCCAATGAAGCATCTGGCCTTTTTCCCAACATAGAAAGTTGATGGAACAATCTTATCACATTTATTTATGCTTATGGGTCAATAAAAGGATCTCTCAAGGCCAGAGTACTGCTGACAAGTAGCAGTACTTCCAAAGAAGATTGACTTCTCTGTCAAGAAAGTTCAGTCATTTCCATTGTCTGAGGAGCGAGCTAAATAATGCAGGCAGGCTAATACCGTAAAGCTAATGGATGATATTGAATAATGACAATGGCTAAGAGCTAAAGGCCCATGGTTAAAACACACCACATGACCTATTGTTAGTAGCAGATAAAATCAATTAAAACACTAGATAAAATGTACGAGGAGTGCTTGATTTTTCTCACCTTTCAAAAAAGGACCTGTCCACTGTCAGACACACTTTAAAGTCAACCACCACACAAAAATGTGTTTGGGCTTATTGTTACTTCATTTGGATGTTTGACCTTCACTGTGCAGAATGATGTACGTACAGAGTTTGAAGGGGGAAAGTTTCTCTGTGCTCATCTTCAATCTGAGTTAAAAGCACAATTTTGTGGCATCAGTTTTGAAGCCAATAATGGCTCAGTTATCTACTTACACAAGCGTGATATGGACAGTTTAAACCTCCACTGCACACGCAATGAGATTGAACTTTTCAGTGAAGTAGGAGACATCTTGTAACAGCTGTTAATCAGATAGTTTTTTCAGTGAGGTAGATGGCCAAAATGTAATTTTAACTGAACCATTTTTGTGCTAACACCATATGAGACACAATTATTAATCAAAACAAAGTATTTTTCATCTTAAAACATGTCAGAAGGGGTTCTTTAAGTACCAGGTAACACAGATCAAGTGTACCAAAGGTAGTTCAAGTGGTATAAAATCATAGTATGTTTTCTGCTGAAACAAATAAATCTGAATGATGTTTATGTTTTCTGCAGCTCAAATTGACACTGATAATAATACATGATTGAAGTGAAGCGACTAATCGTGGATCCAGTTGAGTGGTCATATATATATCTATTTTCATAATTAAGTCAGAAGTCAAAACATATTTAGCTTTTGAGCCAGAGGAAAAAAGAATGAGATGACGCATGAAAACACTGGTTTTTACTTCTTTCTATTGCATTCGTATTTCAAACAAGGTCTGAAAAGTGACTGCCCTTATTCTCAAAATGTCTACAGTCACAAAAGCCTATACTGCATAGTCTAAAAAATGCCTTGGAAGCTCCAGACCCTGTGAAATGAAATATCACTCCAACAGCAGGCAGTGCAACAGACAAACATTAAGTCTGATTCTTAGTCACAGCCATAATGTGCTACCAGAGGATTATGGTGTTAACAGGTGGAGAATTACCATAGTTTGACTCAGTCCAAGAATCTACAAACCACACTCATATTTGCAGAGATAGAAATAGCTCTCTCACAAACACTTCATTTGACCATTTCCGGCAATAAACAGTTCCTCTGTTATACTTGTAACAGGCTCTGTTTGAGGGTTCTCAATGAATGAAACAAATCAGCAAGCGAGAGATTCAGAACAGAACCCAGCAGATAACGGTATCACAGAGACATGAGTACACATGACACACACAGGGCACAAGATGTTGTGGCATTAGTGGTTAATAGGAAAACAGAACGGGGGAGGCCGGGGGGGGGGGATTAACCAGCAACAGCAACATGTAGCAGGTGGTTTGATGATAGTATATATTAAGCGCTGATGATGTGTATGACTTTAGTGCTCTGCCTGAATGTGATGCTTAGTTATCCATTAGACAATAAACAGAAAATGATCACCAAAAATTTTAAAAACCTAATACTCATTTGTGACATTTCAAGCAAAAATGCTGAACATTTGCTGGTGTGTACTTTTCAAATGTGAGAATTTGCTACTTTTTAATGTTTTACGTCCCTGGAAATTGAATACATGTCCGACAGACAGCAATTTAAATCGTGCCAACAGTCCCAAGATATCCGGTTAATATGAAAGAAAACCAAGATAACCACCAAATATTCCCATTTCAGAAGCTAGTACGATGGAGTTTTTGGTATTTTTGCTTTGAAAAATGGCTAAACCAATCAATTGGTTATCAAAATTGTTGCTTATGAAGTTTGTTTTTTTCCTGCTGATTAGTCAACAGTTTCAGCTCTGAAGTATACGAAGTAGGCCAACCATGTCAATAAATATTGACAGCATTTACAGCAAGACCTGCAAATCAATAAGTTTCAGAGGATTTGTAATTGCACTTTAACAATTTAATCAAACTTTAACAATTACCATATAATTACACGAATATGCAATACAATCAAATCTTTTACTGTAAAAGTGGGCAGATTACAAATCAGTGGGAGACAAATGTATTTGCACTTTCACAGCCTGAGCTCTGATGCCTGTTACCATCAGTGTTCAATCAAGTGGCCCTCCACTTCCTCCTCCCCGCCTCTCATTTGTCTGCAGTTCCCTCCGGTCTGAACAGAGGATGGATGGAGGAACGGAATGAGGGTGGAAAATGGATGCGTGTGTGTATAGAGGAGTAGGTCGATAGGCTATTATCATCAGCATACATTAA